TCCATCAACGTACAGCTACAATGTATAGAAAGGAGTGTCGCTCACAGAAGGGGGCAAATTTTTAGCAATAAAAGGGGGTGGTTAACAATCGTTCAAAATATCAAGAATAGCAGATTGGGGGAAAAGTAAACGGGTCATAAGATCCGCGCATTATACATGAATGTTGCGGTGCAATACCCATAGTTTTCTAAATAGGGATTGCCGAAAGTAACAAGAATTTTACTGCCATGTGAGACGATTTAGTACCAAATATGACAAAATGCCACAAATTGCGCTGGAGTAACAAGAATAGGCAATAATTGTTGAAGGGCAAGAAAGGGGCCAAGAACACCTGCGCGTCAGTGTTTTTCCCTAATAGTAATGGTTATCTTAACTGGGATACGTTCTTGTCCAGTAATTTTTTCGCGAAAATGAAATCATCAGTTACAAACGTGACACTATTTATAATTACGACAGTACCAAAATACTGTAATATCAATCTGTGTATGCTTCGTTCTTCCATCAACATACAGCTAGCTTGGATAGCGAGAAAAATCCTTGTTACTTTTGCGACTTTTACGACTTTTGCGATATTTGCGGACAATTCGGGGCCCTTCTTGATTTCTTCCTTTGCTAAGTCTAGAATTTTGTTAAATTTGTTATTTTTGCGATTTTTGCGATATTTGTCACGGGTGTTTTAAGCTAGCTAGAAAAATCCTTGTTACTTTTGTGATTTTTGCGATATTTGCGGACATTTCAGGGCCCCTCTTGGCTTCTTTGCTTTCTAAGTCTGGAATTTTGTTACATTTGTTATTTTTGCGATTTTTGCGATATTTGTTATGGGTGTTTTAAGCTAGCAAGAAAAATCCTTGTTACTTTTGCAATTTTTGCGATAATTGCAGACATTTCGGGGCCCTTCTTGGCTTCTTTGCGTTCTAAGTCTGGAATTTTGTTAAATTTGTTGTTTTTGCGATATTTGCGATATTTGTCACAGGTGTTTTTAGCTCGCAAGAAAAATCCTCGTTACTTTAGCGATTTTTGCAATAATTGCGGACATTTCGGGGCCCTTCTTGGTTTCTTCTTTTTCTAAGACTAGAATTTTGTTAAATTTGTTATTTTGCGATATTTGTCATGGGTATTTTTACCTCGCAAGAAAAATCCTTGTTATATTTGCGATTTTTGCGATATTTGCGGACATTTCGGGGCCCTTCTTGGTTTCTTCTTTTTCTAAGTCTAGAATTTTGTTACATTTGTTATTTTTGCGATATTTGTCATGGGTGTTTTTAGCTAGGAAGAAAAATCCTTGTTATATTTGCGATTTTTGCGATAGGTGCGGACATTTCGGGGCCCTTCTTGGCTTCTTTTTTTTCTAAGTCTTTATTCTTGTTAGATTTGTTATTCTTGCGATTTTTGCGATATTTGTCATGGGTGTTTTTAGCTAACAAGAAAAATCCTTGTTATATTTGCCATTTTTGCGATATTTGCGGACATTTCGGGGTCCTTCTTGGCTTCTTTTTTTTCGAAATCTTGATTCTAGTTAGATTTGTTATTCTTGCGATTTTTGCCATATTTGTTAGTAATTTTCTGACATAATTTTTTCCCAATTACTTCTTTTGCGACAATTGCAAAAAACATTTGCTAGCAAATTTTTGCTAACAAGATCGATCCTGGACATATCGATTCCCATGCTGAGTTCATTTCCTCACATTATAATTGTTGTGTTTTTGAAAAAAAAAAATGCTCTACAAGTATCGTTTTTAAGTCAAATGGTTTTAATGTTAAGACACGAGCTAGCAAATCTAGCATGAATCAGACTTGCAAAAACACCTCTGTCGTTTGGGGTAACGATAGAAAAAGAAGTCAATCTCAGGGAGTGTTTTGTCCGATACCAGACATCGGCTGAGATTAGTAAGCTGAAATAACGAGACACATCCTCAACACTCACTGAAGAATTCAAAACGAAAGTTGACCGTATTACCGAGAGGTGGCCGTAAGGCGGGGTTCCAAGGTACTTAGTTATAATTTTAGCCGGGCATTGAACAAAAATCGTCAAATTGATTACGGTAAACTTATTAGTTCCTTAAGACTTTTTTTCATTTTTCTCATCGATTTGTTGACCATTTTCAGACCATGTTTTAGTTGGTAATGTTATTAACACGTCCGTTGTTGCTGAGGCTGTTGAATGTCACCAAAAATGCCTCAGAAAAAACAGCTGCAAGTCGTTTAAGAGCGGCTCCGCGTAAATATCAACTAGACGTGGAAATAGTCAAAAAATGACCTGGCCTCAAACTCAGCCAGAATGAAACCCTATGGGCCCTAGTTACAAAATCGTTGGTTTAAGTACGATCGAGTGAATAATATTTTTTTAACGAATTTTTTTCTTGCCGAGGCCTAAAATGGGCAAAAAACATGCGAAATTGTAGTCATATTCAGTAACTCATACATTTTAAAATAAAGTTGGCTACTGAAAGCGGATTGGTACATGGCTTTGAACACCCAGGCTTGTTTAGTCTGAAAGAGCATTCTTTTTTTTAAAATTAGCCGGAAATAAAATTTTTGGGTAAATGAAATCACGAGCGCTGACAAAGCGAGGCAAATGTAATTGTTACACTAAAAACAGGCGAAAAACGTGACCTCTGACCGAAGCACAAACCAAATGCGAATTACGGTAGGTGCCAAACCTTTAATTATTCGGTAAGTTCTCAAAACAATATTGGTCTGAAATGTGTATAGGTTTTTAAAATAAAGCTGAGTTAAAGTATTACGTGTCAAAAAGTCCACAAAGCGGTAAAAAATACAACAAAAGTCACAAGTAATCTGTTCAGTTTTCTGAATTTTATGCAGCGATTTATGGGATTGAACGAATTAACAATTTAAGTTTTTAATCCAAAGATACCCACCTGAGACTGTGTTAGTTTAAGAGTCCATAGAACTTCTCAGAAGATTTCTCCAGAAGGAAATGAATAAAGAATTTGAACTTATAACTGTAACAATTTCACTTGCCGCCAGGGCAATGAACGAAAACAACTGTGGAACTGCCACAGGCAAACCAGCTTTCACTGCAGTCATTCAAAGCATGTCACGTCACGTAATTCTGTCCCGCGCATTTGGGAAGGAGGGAACAAATTCTTCCATGCTGTGCGCTAAGACATTTGTGAAATAAAATTAGCTTTGGACTGTTTCATTTTTGCCCTCGCTTGATGTCAAAGGTGCCTTTTCCGCCGATATAATCTTGGATTTGATTAGCAGGCGTTTTTAGGGGATTCGTAACGTAAACAACATAATTATGCTTTACAAACTTTACAAAACGACGATACACGTCCTCCTCTGCAAAGTACGACGCAAAACATATGTTTTGTTATCTCGATTTCCGCTGTTATTTTGAAGATAATGGTCAAAATCACATCCATTTTCGGCTCATACAGGTTCTTAAGAATAGCATGGCATGACATTTTCTCACTTTCACATCACCTTCTAGCAAGCTGGAATTTGTATATCCCCCGTGTTGCGGGGTCGAAGAGCAAATGCTCATCTTCTCGTCTTCTCGTCAAGTTTAACGCCTGAACGAGTCAAAGGCTCTTGAATCGAAATCAAATCCCCAAGTCAACCATCGTACTCACTTGAAGGACTCCTGCGTGTCTTAAATTTGACCTCTAGCCGTGCTGTGGAAAATTTGCCACAAAAAAAACTCTGAGTCTGGGCAGCGAACAATGCACCCTCTCACCCACCGTGTTGATCGTGTTTTTATTTGAGTTGTCCCTGTCGCAATGCATTCTGGTAAATAGTAGCGCAGTGCACTTTTGTTAAATACAATGCATTCTGGTAAAAAATGTGGTTAAATGCAATGCATTCTGGTAAAAAGTGATGAATTCGAGAATTCGTCGCCCCTTATATATTTCCCTTTAAGGTGACTCGACCCAGTTTTTTTTTTTGGGTACCATCCTACTTTGAAGCTCTCTGGTATCCCCACCTTTACTTTTATCGTAAGTCTAACACATAGAATGGATAACATATAGATCAATCTACGATATAACATTCGGAAGTCAGCCAAGCGCGGTCATTGCACGCGTGCTGAACAAGAATGCTGTATAATGACAGACTAGAAACAATAGACAACTCCCAAAGCACAAACTCAGCCAAAACGCTAAAAATCTTCAACGTTTACTCAAGTTTGGGCTTATAGAAGATAATGTCACAGTTTTTCAATGACCATGAAATTCAGAGTCCGGGTAGTTAGTTAATCAATTGTGGCCCTGAAAAAATTTGAAGGAAAAAAAACTACGAATTTTTAAGAAAATGCTTTTTTCGTGAGAAGGACTCTTAAACGCTGACAAACGTCAACAAATAGCGAAAACTATAATTTCTATATGTTTGCTTTGCTCGAAATCGCGCGCATTTACAAGGCCCTAAAGCGTTTTGCTGACTCGCAAGGACCCATCTGTTATAAGGATGCCCAAAATAAAGAGATGAGTCTCATAGTTTATAAGATATAATCCGTGTAAAGTTTGCTTATCATTTTTGCATGAATTATGACCTAAATTTGGAAACCGCTGAATTTCTCGAATTGCGTCTTTGCGATTTTGGTGAAACTCTGTTCAGCGCAAGGCACTAATGCGCACTATGTGTAGCAGAGAGATTTTCACGAAAAAATGCCGGTAACAGCAGATTTTCGACTCAGACCTCAAAGGGGCGTGGCATTATAACCACGTGACATTTACTCCGATCGCCAAAAATTTTATGTTATATTGTAGATTGATCTATATGTTATCCATTCTATGTGTTAGACTTACGATAAAAGTAAAGGTGGGGATACCAGAGAGCTTCAAAGTAGGATGGTACCCCCCCAAAAAACTGGGTCGAGTCACCTTAAATCCTAATTATGTTGCTGCTCGCTGCCTACGGTCGCTCCGCAGCAACAAACTAATTAAAAACGGAACAACCACTCTATAAGGCTGACACTTAATAGTCGGCACGTACATGTAGCACAGTGAAGATCACAATCACCCATAAATTTTCCTTCGATGGCAGCTTCATGGCTCATTCGTTTGGTTTTTCTGACTGTTAATGTTCTGATGGCAGTGGTACTGGTGATATCCAACTCGGACTTCTGTGCCAGCGTTTTTGAAACTCAAACAGGTAAATTAACACCTGCGGCTTTATAAAACGGTTTTCTGAAACGTTTTCTAAGTTGCAAACAAACTACCATTTTTTTTTCTCAAAGTTTTCTTCAGTAGAGTCTTTTATTACATTTTTTTAAATACCCATTTTGATTTGCAGTCTGTCTACTTTGAATTGAGATGACGAACTCGGGCAAAAAGCATTTTAATAGCATTTTCTTTTCCCGACTTTCAATCTGATGTTAAAATTACTTACAACTCTTATCACTTTTTTTACTTCCGACGATTCGCTCTTGTATCATATCGCAATTTTGCAAGCGAGTATATCTCCTCATCATAAAAGATCAGAAAATTGTTTAGCTAAAAAAATGAATGAATGTTTGTCCTACCTTCATGTTAAACTCTACTGTTTTTTGAATATTCCTCTGTTTTATATTCCTTCATGTTTCAGACCATGTTTTAGTTGGTCATGTCATGAGTACATCAACTGTTGCTGACGAGTTTGAATGTCACCAAAAATGTCTCAGAAATAACAGCTGCAAGTCGTTTAATGTTGATCCTGGTGCAGATATTAATACAAACCACGTTTGTGAGTTGAACAACGAAACACGGAAGATGAAGCCGGACGATTTCATTAAGAAGAAAGGATCTTCTTATTATGGACAAGTTAAGGTCAGATCCACTGTTTGAACATAAACTATCGCTTTTTTATAAAACTGTTATTTAAAAAAACTCTAAACTCTAAACAACTAATTAGGGACCTTAAGATCAGACGACGGCGACGGCAACGAGAACGTCATAAAAGCAATAGGTTTTTAAAACAAGCAAGTTATTAAAATAAGAAAAACAACAAGAAAAAAACAACTTTGCACGTGAATAACACTTTGAAAATGCCTAACTTCATGTTTTATAGAGGATGTCATTAAAACATTCAATCAACGACGAAATTTTCTTTCTCTTTCTTAACTTGGATAAGGTTCTTAGAAATTCAACTCCAGGAGAGTTCGTGTACATTTGACAAAGTAAGCGTGATGGAACAATCGCGATGACGATTGAAAAACGCGAATTCATTTTTAAGCGACGTTTTACCTGCTGTCGCCGTCCTCGCATCTTAAGGTCCCTATTAAAACATTTGTTTACGACGGTCACCCTGTTCGGTTTTTTCGGAATTTCAACAGACAAGTATTTAATTTCTTAGTTTTTTCGGCTCAAATTCTATGGAAGTTTGAGATCAGCTTCTTACGAATTACTTGATACTATGCGAATTTAAGTGGTTATCTTAGCAGAACTCTAATATCGTAAATAGTACTTTTGACGACATTGTCTTTTAAATAATGAGTTGTTGCACTGGTTTGCCTGTGTCTTAAGTACATATTTGTTTTTACCCACACGAAAAATATCGCGTATGCCAGGGTATAGAAAGAAGGTATATCAACATATTTAACAATTATCATAAGTATCATCTAAAAAATTATGGAGATCGAGGAGGGTGTTATCCGCCTCGACCGCTAGCCAATCAGAAACGGAGAAATATTTTGAATAAATAATAGTTATTTATATTACTTCTAAAGCAAACAAAAGTGGTAATAACTAAAGCACATAATGACGTCATCTATAGTTGTTATCTATTGTTTGATGTTTCTCATTTCAATTCCTTATTTCCTTCTCAGGTTTCCTGCCAAGATCTGCCCACCAACAAGAAGAAACAAACTGGTCATTGTCATCCGGACTACAGAGGAAAAAAATGTGAAATTCGTGAGTAACGCTTGTCTATTTTTAAATTTGATTTTACTATTGCCTCACGGAGGAGCAAATATTTACCATATATAGTCATTTGTTTTATTATCTGCTGCAGCAAAGCGAGGTTGGAATTCCAAGCAGCCTGCTTATTCATGTAAGAGCATCCGGGACTCTGGTGACTTTAAAGGAGACGGGAGGTACTGGATCGACCCTGAGAACAGTGGAAACCCGTTGAACGTTTACTGTGACATGACAACTGACGGAGGTGAGATCTGTTCCAAAAAAATCTGAAATCGTGAGCAATTATAGCTCATTCAAACTACTTTTTCGTTTCTGGTTGAACTATATTCCCCGGCTTATTCTTTATAAACAGCTACCATTATCAAATTTAAAGACATTTAACGTCAATTGTACAGATATCGTTTGAGAGAGGGACAGCAGAAGGTGCAGTAGCTCTTTTTTTTTTTTTTAGCAATTCCCTTATTTGGCCAAGACTGAATAGGGTATGGTTTTCAGGGTAATACAAGTTTACTAATTTAAGTCTTGAACAGGGTATCCTCATGCCGAGGTACCAACAATATATTTTCAAAAAAAACTCCAATTTCATGATGTTAATATAAAAAGCACCTCTAAATTCCTTGTGTAAAATGAAGTGAATCAGAGTTGTGAAATTAGGTCTCCTGTCTTTAACAGGGTGGCAAAATAAACAATTTTTTGTTTTAAACAGGGTTAGGGTTTGAAGGGTTCGGCGACTACTCCCCCCCCCCCCCCCCCCCCCCTCCCGGAGGATTTCATACGTTATGCGTGGGAGGCAGCCGTTGAACTACTGTCTAAACATATCACTGTGGTAATCAATGACAACGGCGTACTAAAATATACATTCCGATGAAGCCTTTCGAACTATTTTGCTTCAAAGACCTTCAATAAACTTTGCGGCGTTATTATTTTTTCTTCTTCGCGCATGACTTTATTATGGTGCCGCCTCGCAGCCTCGTGTCTGCTCGTTGGCAATTATTTGGAATAGCTGAAGAAACAAGTTGGGGTGCGTTTCTTTACCAAATATACCAAAAATGGATTATTGATACAAATGATCTACAATGGGGGTGGATTCTTTGTATCATATCCAAAACCGGATACTTTGGATGCATGATCCGAAGCGTTTCTTTACTACGGATCCGAAAGAGTGAATACAGTCGACGGTAACTCGAAACAATTTTAATACATACAGCAGCTGTTTTGCAACTTAACGTTGCTCATCTCAACGGCCATTTTTAAACTCGAGGCATGAATTGAACGATTCGTTTTATCCCGCGCAATTTTTATAGGGATAGTAAAATCGCAATACAAACGGGACTTGCATTGGTCTAGTTCCAAACGGCAAGTCGAGACACTTCGCCGGAGCGAGTTGCAACATTTTACAATAAAATTTTTACGATGTCGGGACTGTTCAGCCAGATCAATCTGCTCTAGCCTGCTTAGTAGCAGGCGTCGAAAGGGGTAGGAGATAGAGAGGAAGGGAAAAAGGAAGGGGGATTGGGGAGAGAGGGTAGGGAACGCCTGCTATAAGAACCCCCTTTTGTTCATTGCTGCGGACGCTGGCGTCAGCAAATTCCTGTTTGGCTGAGCCGTGATGAATAACTTATTGGCGTGTATCCTGGCGTGTATTAGTGAGAGACAAACATGATGAAGCCATCAAGGAAATGTGTTCTACTGGCATAAGCTTTGGAAGATCAAAATTACTCCAATCATGTAGCAACTTGAAGTTAAAACCCGAACTGGAACCAACTGTAATAGCTTTGAAAATAATCCTGAAAGCCATCACGTAAGGCCAGAATCGCTTGAGACTTTTCAACCCCCTTACGTATCAAGCAAGGTGAAGTAGAGTAAGCTACTTTTTGAACACGATGACATCCGAAATCGGATTTGCGATGAGTTTCACAAGCGGTGTATTTCTCAACCAAAAACCCATTAAACAAACCATCCACGAATAACAGAAGAATCTTAATAGCGAGCTGCATTTAATTAATTTTGTGGAAAAAGACAGTTAAAAGCATCATACGATGACAAAAAAGTCCGTCAGCTTCAGCTATCTGCGTAAACATAGTTTCCAAATGCTGCAAAATATTTCCACATGAATTCACCTGTCAAATTTTGACCAATCGGACAAAAATTGGGAATAGAGCATGGCCAACGCATGACTATGGTGAGAAATGCTAAAAGGATCTGCCTTCCCTGCGTGTTAAAAACTGCCTAAATTTTCGCGTCCGAAGTCAGTTTGAAATCAAAATCTTAATTGTTCAGCTCATAAACACAACTTGTTTCCTGTGCATTGAAACAAAATTGAGTTTGAGTCTGCGAATATTTGAAAACTAGTAACTTCGCAGTAGATAACTTCCCAAAAACGTACACTCGATGGGTCAAGAAATAAGCCCGCGATACGGTCAAGTGATACTGGGCAGCGGATACCCTGTTTTGACAACTGTCAACTGACCACGACATGGATGTGCTGAATCAGGTTGCAGGCTCCCAAACTAGCTAGAAAGTGTGAGATTGGTTTCCTGGTTATGCAGACGGAGGGACGGTCACGTGACTACCAAATTTTCTCGGGTAGATAGAAGCACGCACGTCGAGCTTCGCTATTAAAACAGCCATTCTTATCGATTTTACAGAATGTAGGACTTTAATAAAATGCCTCTTTATCTTCACATTTTTTTTCTTTCAGGAGGCTGGCTCCTTGTTTCCAACATCACGATGGAAAGTTCAACTCCACCCTCTCAGCTGCCAGTCAAGACTTCATACCGTGGAATAACCAGTGATCAGATGGTTCTTACAAAAACCGCCATGAATGAGCTGAGAACACACTTGTCTTTCACCCAGCTGAGATTCCACTGCTTTAAAAAATATGCATGTACGTTCCACGTTACCACTGCTGCCAACAGCAGCGGTGAAGCTGTAGTCCAATACTTCAGCGGTCAGACAGATGTCCAGCCCGCCTCGTGTGGCTCATATGTCATCAGGGAAAATGACAACTCAAGGCTGGCAAGAGTTTGTCAGAATTGGGGATCGGAAAATGGCGTGCACACAGTTGGCAAATGGGGTCATGGTCGAAAGCAAGACAGGCTGTATATATACCCTGCTTTTACAGTTGGCAAATCTCATTGGTACATGAACCCACCTAATTTTCTTTGCGATGATAACATCCCAAATCCAACATCTTCTGGCGATTTCTGGAAAGTCTATGTTCGCTAAGAACTTGAAAAATTGATTGCAGTGGTCAAATATATATTATCTTATTAAGAGACTTTCTTTGTACAGTTATTCAAATATTACGATTAATAATAGGTATCACGGAAGAAATCAGGCATTATGCTTAATTTTCATATTTATTTGCATTTCTATTTGTTTCTATCGTCCAATCATTAACTCTTATTTTCCATATTTATCCCTATTTATTAGGATTTACGCTTACTTAGGCACTTAAGCTATTTATTGATTTTTCGAATATTTAACAGTATTTTTTCTTATTTACATCTTTTCCTAAGTTTCACATTTAAACAACTTTCTAGTATTAATAAGCATTTATTCAGTCATTTATTCAATTAAAAGGGCAATATTATTTAATAACAACAACAATAATAATAATAATAATAATAATAATAATAATAATAGTAATAATAATAATAGTAATAATAAACATTTCGTTTGTATTTTCGAGCTCTTTTCGGGACATTTTTTCTCAAGTTTTCTTAGAATAAGCTTGTAATGAGAAAAAAAGATCGTTGTGCCGTGTTTTGATGTAATAATGATCGCTTTTTTCCTGAGAAATATACAGTGAAAGACCATATTTCTAACACTAAACTAGTAAAAGGCGATCATTATTACATCCAAACACGGCACAAGGATCTTTTTTCTCATTACAATGTTATTCTAAGATATCTTTAAGAAAAAATGTCCCGAAAATCGGTCGAAAATACAAACGAAATGTGCTCATGCCCCGTGGGCATCCTATAATACTCCTTAAATCGAATTAATTCAATATGGCCGCCGTATCGGTAAAAAGATCGGTGTACCACCTCGTACCCTGGGGAATTGCCAGCCCCAGAGGGAATTACCACCTCACATACATTACCTTAAGGGGATTGTAACCCTCTAGACAGGATTACCACTTTTTACACATAAACTCTCTGGGATAACCTGCCCAAAAGGAGGATAAGCGCCTCACACATGTTACTCTGTGGGATTATCAACCCCAACAAATGTCTACACGTGCTGAGAGTATTTAGAAAAGAGCGCTACAGCCAGACAGAAATTGATTATCTCTTCTATAGTATTGTTCTCCCTAACATAACCTACGGACTATCTGTTTATGGTGCCTCCGTTGCGAAAATTAATGTCCTTCAGCAATTTTTAGACAAATGCTATAAGTTACGCTTTATATCTACACAGTTAAATATTAGATCATTACTACAAAAACAAGATAAAGCGATCTTTCAAAAAGCTAAACAGCATGATAACCACCCTCTGAAGGTGTGCTTACCGCAAGAAGAGAACAATTTAACCTACAATCTTAGACGTAAAAGCTTCCAAAGGCCCAAGATAAACACCGAACGTTATAAGAACACATTTGTAAATGGATGAATTTTTAAATACAATTTTTTTATGATATTTTATGTCAGACATGTGTAACTAGTTTTTCGCATTTTTCAATCTTTTTATGCTATTGTAATTTAGCTGAACTTTTAATCTTTTTATCCTGTAACATTGGATATGTATTTTTATCTAATGAGCAATAAAGACATTTATTATTTATTACTATTAGAGAGGATTATAACCTCACACTTGTAAACCCTGGGGGATTATCAGTCTCTACAGAGCCTTACCACCCTTCCACACCTTAGCCTGGGGATGGTCGACCCCTAGAGAGGATTATAACCTCACCACATTTATCCTGGGGGGGATTACCAGTCTCTAGGGAACCTCCGACACTTTACCCTTGAGGATGGTCGACCCGTGAAGAGGATTATAACCTCACACACATATACCCTGGGGAGGGATTATCAACCTCTAGAAAGGCTTACCACCGTTTCACACATTACCCTGGGGGATGATCGACCCCTAGAGAGGATTATAACCTCTCACGCATATATCCTGGGGGATTATCAGCCTCTAGAGAGCCTCTAACACTTTACCATTGGGGATGGTCAATCCTTAAAAAGGACTACATCTCCTCTCAATTTACCCCAAGGATTTTGGCCGAGTTGGATTTGGAAGTGTTTAGCCCTGTGAAAAACATTGTTGGCTGTTACATGTTGCGTCAGTTTGCACACCTTGTTGGTAGTTGTTGCGCAAAGTTTGAAGCTGATCAAACTACCAACAATGTTAGAAGTTATTGCGTCCGTCGACTGTACGTAGCTTTACGTCCATGGATGAAAGTCACTTGCAGAATAAGGGTTATGGGTGGGAAAAGTTAATCACGAATGAATTTTTTCCTTAATAAATGGTAAATAATATTTCCTTTACTGCTTTCACAAAGTGCGCCTTGTTTGCCCCTCAAAATGTTGCTTAACCATTGTTTTCAATTTCCCCTGGGTATTACAGTGATCCTGAGAGAAATCCAAGACAATGGTTATGTAAAAGTTTGGAGGTAAACAAGTTGCATTCAGGGCCCCCGGAGAGGATTTTCAAGTGGGAAGTGGGGGGGGGGGGGGGGGGTAATACGAACGCGTAAGCGTAACCATACTAGTGGGGGCAAACTAGTGGGAAAATTTTAAATTTAAGTCTTCCGAAATGGCTATAAAAGCATCTAAAACTGCCAATAGCAATATAAATTTGTAATTATTACATCAGCACTTAAAACAACAATTCACAACCTGGCGCCACGTTAGACCTAAATTAAATGAACAGACTTTGGAGCTAAACCCAACACATGCAACGGTGGAGTGTCAGCCGGACATTTTGAACTAGGATTCTCTGAAGGTGCCAAAGTTGGCTTTCCGATTGTCATTAAGAGCTACAAACTCACTGGCAACAGCTACAAGACAGCTACAAGTTCTCTGTTTGTGGGTGTTCAGTATTGCCAGATTACTAAACCTTAAATTTTCACCATTTTCAGCAAGCAAAGTATGTTTATTTTGCAACAAAACAATAAATGCTAATAACAAAACGCGAAGAAGTAACAAAGCAAGCTTTCTGTAAAATACTCTGAAGAAAACTCCGTCCTCGGGGAAGTCTCTTATTAGAATTTATTAATTCAAGTGGATGGGATGGGGGTGAGCGCTTATTTGAGTTTGATTGGGGGGAGGAGGGGGTGAGAGCTTATTCGAGGCTGGGCGCTTATTAACCTTTCCTGCCTTTAGAATGGGCGCTTATTCGAGGTGGGTGCTAATTCGAGGTTGGGCGCTTATTCGAATAAATACGGCATGGAAATTTAAACAACACACTTCTTCATTTGTACGATGACTTCATTTTACTACTACTAACAGAAACGTTCAGGGTTTTGCTTTTTTTGCAAATAAGGGCTTATTTTAGTTAAACCCTCGCTGTCAGGTAAATAACTTTAAATATTAAAAGTAAGACCGTTTTTGGCATGTCGCCCATGATAATGCAGATAGCGTATTGATGAAAGACTGTTATTCACGTACCGTAAAGAAATACACTGACGTAAAATCTCAACAGTTGCCTTGGAAAATTCTTGGTTTATAACCATGTGACAAGAAGAGACTAAGGCTGCTATGCTGGTAAACAGAACAACTACCAATCATTTCCCAGAATTGGCATGAAAAATGAGTTCAGTTCAACGAGAGGAAAAACGCTTTTGTTCAGTATCAACCAATAGCCGCCGTGACTTCAGTTGCAAACCAGCAATTAATGGGAATAAGTTATGAAACGAAACGATATTCCAAAGGAAGTGGTAAAGAGTGGCAAGCGCGACAGTACACTTGTAAGTGATTTGATCACACAATGTTGGATACGACCTTGGCTTGTCAACTTTAAAAGGTTTATTCAGCCTCCATGCCATGTGTTCCTTAAAACAGATCATGTACTCAAAGAAAGGGATGTGTTCTATCTCTTTGCTAATAGAGAACAACTCCATTCGATCATTCAAGTTTTCAATAATTAACATTTATTTATTTAAGGGTAGGGGGTAAGAAAAACATCATAACTAGCTCGATTATCCAATTAGAGAGTGGGATGAATGTTAGAAGACCGATGTTTGGAACGTACTAACTGCAAACGTTATTTGTTAGGCTTGGAAAACTTCACTCGAGGCGCCAAATAAGCCGTAATTATGTAACCAAGAGGTTTGAAAAAGCATGATGGCTATTCTTCCTTGGTTCACCCAGTTGTTTTTTCTAATTCTTAATGTTTTTATCGGTATTATATACTCGGAAATGTGTGGAAGCGTTTTTGAAAGCAAAAACGGTAAGTAAAACCCGCTAAAACCATGTATCGCTGAGAGTCTTGAATCACAAATTCAAGATGTAAAAATGGCTCAAAATGTTATAAAGCAGGCGAAAAAATAATATGTTTTCAGATATTTTGTCATAAATGGATTGAGATTTTCTTAAAACTGAATTATTGTTTAAGAGATTAGGTTTACCGACGTTAGTCCTAGAAACAAAGTCAGAAAAAACTTGGTTTCATTTCACAGCAATAATTTTTTTTAAAACAAGTATAGGTATAGCGCTATTATATGTAATACTGACCATTTTCGCTGAAAAAACTTTTGCGACAGGAGCGAGATTACAATATTGCAAATAAGCTTATGAGTATTTCAGTTTTCATTTTCCGCGATTATTTTTAGTCTAGTATCAGCGATGACTATTTTAACCATATATATTTTTCAGACCATGTATTAGTTGGTAATATCATTAACACTTCAGTCGTTGCTGATGAGTTTGAATGTCACCAAAAATGCCTCGGACATATCAGCTGCAGGTCATTTAATGTTCATCCTGGTGGAGATATTACAAAACACGTTTGTGAGCTGAACAACAAAACACGGCAAATGAAGTCGGTTGATTTTATAGAGAAGAGCGGATCCTCATTTTACGGACAAGTGAAGGTCAGGTCACCAGGAGACTAAACTGAACTTGGCGTTGTCATTTTTAGGTTTATATCGGAGATGATTATGCTCAAAGACTTTAACACTAAGGTTTAGATAATCCTCTGAAACTTAGTTTTGACCACAAATTATTTGCCTGATTCCATAATTCTTCCGTTTTCTAGATTGAAAGCCATTATTTCCCTCGAGAAACGTCTCATCACAATGTTTTGATTTGTCCAATTAAAAAGCATTTCTGCTTATCATACATTTCCAATCTCTTGCAGTCAGATCCTCAATCACCTTCAGTGCACCTTATCAAATTTTAATTTGATTCTAATCAATTCAACTCTGTTTCTTTTTTCGCGCTGTAAACAACTGATGTTTTCGCCGTCTGTGAAATATGAGTCATACTTTCAAAAGTTTGGAATTTCGAACAATGGCAGGAAAACTTAATTGTTTTACATCTTAGCAGCGAGTGGTTTGAAAAACAGGCTCACTGTACATTGATATGGATGAATGTATGTATTAATATAAAATAAAACAATGAATATAACTGAAAAGTTAATACCTAGTTTTCATCCAAGGTCAGAAGATATCACCATATTTTTTATTGTCTTTGTGTAACACAGGTGTCCTGTGTTCCTGTTTCTCACGACAAAAATAAACCAACCAGCAGCGGTCAGTGTCACCCTGGATACGAAGGAAAACGATGCGAGAGGAGTGAGTAACGTTTGGCTTCTTAATTGATGTGTTTTCTTTTATTTGTTAGGGCTTCTTTTATTGATTTACTATTTTTTTGCCACTGATACAAGTTAAAAACATGCGTAAAATTAAGAAAAAGATGAGACAAGGGAGCCCAAGGAAGCTAATAAGGCTTATGAATAGGACTACCTTTAAAAAATATACTTATTAATAAATAAAATACTGACATCGGCAAGACAATAAGCACATATAATTGCTTTAGAACAAAGAAAATAATCATTAAATAGGATAAAAATACATAAGGCTGAACGCGTAAGTACAAAAACGAAAAAGAAAATGCAGGAATATACGAGAAACAAAAGGGAAAGAAGCGAAGAAATACATACAAGCAATGAGAGAACTAAAGTGTCCTTATACCACGAAAAATGACTTAAGTTTAGAATTGAACAAAGCAGCACTAGAGGCATCCTGAATTTCAGAGCTAAGGGAATTAAATATTTTGGGCCCTTGAAAACGAAGTGAAAATTTCCTTACATTTGTCCTGCAGTAGGGCAAACGGAAGGAATTCTTACTTCTAGTGTTGAACGAACGTACGTCACAGTTAAGTAAAAACATGTCGTTGAAACCATCGGGAAGAAGGCCGTTTATGTAAAGATACATAACTTCTCCTATTTGGAGTTAGAGTCACCTATATTTAGGCTTGAACCTTTTGAAATGATATTTATGAAGCTTTGAAAGATAGTTTAACCCTTGAATTGATTATTTTTAACTCAACCACTCTCCCTTAGTGTGTTCATGTCCACACTCGTTATTTCACTTGAATATTTAGGTTTTTAGCCAATAAGGGACCGGTCATTATTTATCGTCGGGGGGTAGGGGGGAGGATTTTGGGGGATTTGCGTGATTTTTAGGAGAACCCAACAGGGGAATCACTGAAAACGTTGGAAGATGGATTCAGAGGAGGACCACTCAAATTTGCCTGGAGAATGAAGACATCGGGGGGAATGGCGAAAGTTATCAAATGTTATTAAGGGGGATCACTTTAGTCAGGAGCCGATTTTAGTAAAGTAACATTCAAAGCGGGGAACAGCTAAATTTCACCTTGTTTAACTCCAAATCCTCCGCCCCCCCCAGGCGATAAATAATGGCCGGTCCCTAACTTTCCAGTACGTGCTCGCGTGTAAGATTAACTTTGTTCCGTACCTCTCCAGCTTTTTTGGCTCTTCGTTCGCTGTTTTCGTTTTTTTTCGTAAGTCTGCATTTTATTTGAGATAAAATCAAACATTTATTGGAATCTGCGTAGGATTCATGGACGTAGAGTCTGTTTTTGCTAAGAATGAAGGATAGAGAGAGAGAGAGAAACAGGGTCTGTGTTATTTTATGTTACAGTAAAACACGGCTGGTATTCACGTAAACCTGCTCATTCGTGTAAGAAGATCCGGGACTCTGGTGATTCCAAAGGAGACGGAAGGTACTGGATCGACGCTGAGAACAGTGGAAACCTCTTAATGTTTACTGTGACATGACAACTGACGGAGGTAAGATTTGCTTTTTTTTGAGAAGTTATACTTAAGCCCTATTAATCGCAAGTATCAGCCATTATGTTAAAAAAAAATCACTCTACTGCAATATAATTGAGACATGAACAGTTTTGTGTTTTCAGAAATTGCGTTCGACCTTCATCGAGTTGTCATCGGCAAATGCTTGTTCACTCCTTGCTTATGCTTGCAAACAACTTGCTTCCACAGACAAATAAGCATGTTATGTTTGATTTAAATAATATTTGTTGGTAATTGTATGAGTGCAGTATCTGTCAACTAGCTAGAAATGGATAAATAAGTAAATTAATGTATCAGTAAAAAACACCGTACCCTGAACTCTGAAACTGTGTTATATGTTTATCAATATATGGCATGTGTAACTAACGCTTCACGCAAAGCGCAGCGACCTATGTAGAAAGCCACGTTCTATCTTAGGACTTTAGGGGACTCGTTTCTTAATTTCAGCAATGATATGTATTGCTCAATCCCTCCCGTTTTGAAAATATCATGTTCTTAAAATTTTGGGTACCCCAAAATCTCTTTTTCGAAAACGCTTTCATAGATTTTTTCAAACCTTGCCAAGGCAGAGAGAACGGCGTAGATTATTAGCCCCCTAGCGGGGGCTGCCGTGACACAGCCCCTTTAAGTAACAGTTCAAAAATTAAACAACATTTTTTCGGACAAATATCTATTTTAGTCTTTATATCGATAAAACATCCGTCTGAGACGTCTTTTCTGACTTTCCGCTTGATACGGACACCAGGATCATAAGCAAAGTAGAAACAGCATGTCCTCTTGGTGTCCAGAATAACCGGGTTCCAATGTGTTTTTTTTCATACAATGCTTTGTCTTTCACGTCAGGAGGATGGTTGCTTGTTTCCAACATTACGATGAAAAGTTCCAGTCCTCCCTCTCATCTGCCAGTCAAGACTTCATGTCGTGGAATAACCAGTGATCAGATGGTTCTCACGAAAACCGCCATGAATGAGCTGAGAACACACTTGTCTTTCACCCAGCTGAGATTCTACTGCAGTAAAAACAATGGCCGTACAATCCACGTGACCACTGCCGCTAACAGCATCGGTGAAGCTGTAGTCCAGTACTTCAGCGGTCAGACGGATGTCCAGCCCGCCTCGCGTGGCTCATATGTCAGAATGGAAAATGACAACTTATATTTAGGTGGAGATTGTAAGAAATGGAAAAATGGCAAATGGGGGATACATAATGCAAACGAAAACAGACTCTACAATCATGTGGCTTATGTTTATGGCACTCGTCGTTGGCTGCTTTCTCCACCCTCAGTATTTGAATGCGATGACCTTCTTGTTGGAGTTACCACTGGTGATTTCTGGAAGGTTTATGTTCGCTAGTCAATCGGTATATTGAGTGTAATCAAAGCGTTATAACTCGAGGGTGCATGCAACGTATTACATGGTTTGCCTATTATTCCACCTTCTTTGCAATGAGTATTATCAAAATCCACAGTTTCCCGCCATTTTGTGTAAAATCTTTGTTCTTAGGCTTGTTCATATATTACGTAATTTTCGTTCAATCAATATTTTGTATATACACAGTATTAACTTTACATTTTAACACTTCAAATTTATTCCCTTACAAGAAGTCAACAGCAAAACCCTTTCCTGAGCCAGGGGGTATGGGGGGGGGAGGAGGGGGTACTTACTATGAAGGCCTATACGTGGGGTTCCGCCCGACAGGGGGACCTTTTTCAGGTTTCATATAAGTACATGAAAGGGTGAGGATTGATTAGTTGACGTAAATGAAAGGGCAGTAAAATCTGTCATTTTGTTTAGTAAAAAGGCCCAAAAGGAATAAAAGATGCATTTTACGGCAGTGAAAATGTCGAGGAAACGTTATGTAAACCTTTGTACAGTACCTTTGGGTTTCTAGGTTTTACTAACCATCAGAAAAAGGGATAATCATTTCAAGGAAATCTCTTTTTGCGCACAAACTGCTGGGTGTAGGAATAAATTGATCGAAAATTGAGGTGGATAATCTAGCAAATAAGGAAATTGCACCATGTTTCCTGGTTCACTTGGGTTTTCAACCTGGCTCTTAGGCTTTGTTTACACTATGCGAGACAGATTTTACGCCGCCATGTAAACCATCAAATACTGAGCTTCAATCTGTTTACACATTTCATTTTTCTCTTTATGCAAAGATCAAATTTTATTTCAATATTACCTCGATTTATATGAGGGATTTTAAGCAAAATGAAATCTAAGTTTGATTAATTCAAGCCAACTTCTTGATTAAATCAGATGAGTATTTTTCACTTTTTGGCTACTTTGAAAGAAATTTGGATTCTGCCGATACATTTAACAATATGACTTTATAATAACGTTAAATTACGTCAGTGTGTCCATCAGGTTATTGCGTAGATGTTTGAAATGTTATTTTGGTGGCCGTATCATTAGCAGTTTGGAGTTAGATCTCTCTAGATCATCTCAAAGGTATTGCGGGAGGCTTTGATGATAAACAGGGCATGCGTATTCAGCAACAGTCCTAGTACAAGTAAATTAGAAGAGCAAAAGTTCTTTCGACTTGACATGTGCGCGCTGAAGCTGGCACAGAAAATACAGGCGCTTGAGTAATGGTGTGAGAGCATCTTGATCCGGTTTGAGGACGAGGAAGGACGAGGAAAAGTTTTCTCATAAATAAAATGCGCGGGAAACTTTTTAACTTGTGCTAAACATGCTCAGACAAGTAATGAATAAATAAACGAAAATAAGAGTAGAAAGTGCACTGTAAGGGGCGGGGACTTTTCATTGTTTCAGC